GAGAGAGAGAGAGAGAGAGAGAGAGAGAGAGAGAGAGAGAGAGAGAGAGAGAGAGAGAGGGAGGGAGTGAGATCCTCGCTAATGTTAGTTCTGATCTTTTGGATAGTTATGTGTGAATTGAGCTTTTTTGATAGGTATGAGATCGGTGCTTCTCTTAGTATTTTACCTAGTATGCTGAAGTGGTTTGTGTATTGTTTATCTTTGTATATCGATATTTATCAGTGTTTAGCTTTGTACGGGAGCCCGGTTTTCGGCCGTGTGGTTGTCTGAACGATCCGTCATAGGGAACTGAGGCAAGCTGGGTGTTTTTCTCAATGTAGGGTGTGTCGTTTTTCCGCAATGGTGCCAGGCGCGACTACGTGAAAGTTCTGTGCTTTCTGTCAGGCATTTAGCTTAGTTTTGAGTTTAGACTGAAATGTGCCAGACTGAAATACTTACCTCCGTGTACTGTGTATTGTTTCCTTGTTGTGTCGAATTGCGGAGTAATGCGTGAGAGACAAGTCTAGCGAAGTCAACCATTTTGTCGTGCTATGTGTTTTACTCTTTATGTAATGCTACGTTACCCCTCTCCCTCCGTGTGTGTGTGCGCGCGCGGGTGTTCGTCTGTGTACGCGTGCGCGCTTGTGTGTGTGTGTGTGTGTGAGCGTGTTTGTTTGAAACTCTGTGTGTGTGTGTGTGTGTGTGTGTGTGTGTGTGTGTGTGTGAGAGAGAGAGAGAGAGAGAGAGAGAGAGAGAGAGAGAAATGAGATGACCGTTTCCCTTGTCCTTTCCTTCTGTTTCTGATTCTCTTGTTTCTCCTCTCCCTCGCGTCTCTCCTGTTTCTCTCTTCTGTCTCGCTCTCTGTTTCGTATCCGGAGGAGCGAGCTGAGTATTCACGACATCGTCCGGTTATTCCGTTCTTGATGCAATTTGTTCGATACGCTTGGAATTGTCTCTTTATCGTGTCAATGTGATATGTAGACATGTGTGTATACAATTTTCCACTTGTAGTTGCTGGCTAAGAACTGAAACCGTGGTACATTCTGAACCGTCAGATCGGATCGGAGCTTGGCGTACCTTTCTAGAGATGAAGACGGAATCGCACGCGATGGTTGAGATATCCTCTCAGAGTAATAGAGAGTATGACTGCGGGGAAGTCGGGTAGAAGTAAAATACAAGAGCAGATGATTGCGGCGGCGTATGGAGGGGCTCATGCTGGAGTTCGTTTGGCAGAATGTTAGGCGGGATACTTTGGCCACTCTCACAGTCTCACTTTCTATTTTCTCTCTCTCGTCCTTGTTCAGACTGTCTTCGATCCGTCACTCCTCTCTTGATCCCTCTGTACGAGTCTGTAGCTTTCTCCTTCCCTCAATTTGGTATTTTCCATACTGTGATTGTGCTCTTTCCATCTCATAATCACACTCCTTATAGATCTGACTGAGTATGTTATCACTCTTGATCCCTCTGTACCTTTCTCCTTCCCCCTCTTTGGTAACGAAACGATCTTTCGTGTGTAGGTCACTCTCGCTCATCTCTTTTTCTGTCCATGCCCTCTCTACCCTCTCGATACGTCTCTTCTGCCTTGTGTTGTTGTCCCCCCTGAAACTGAAATGACCCTCGATCTTCCAGAACGAGGGATTTCATTCATTTATATTTCATTCGTCTGCCACTCGTCAAGCAAACCGTTAACCTCAGTTATGTGCATACAGAGCCAGACATGTACCGCATTTTTCTTCTTTTTCATAAATGCAAACGTGGACTTTAATATAATTAAACATGACCGTGCCTTGCTAAGTACGTGCGTTTCGATGGGCTAGGGCTCTAGATGCTTTTGATAGTCCTCCTGGACTTTTGCTCGTACTCTCCTCTTCCCGCTTCGATCGAGTTCTAGACGGAACAGGGTGCAATTCCATTCTCCTACCTAAACCACTTGACCGTGATCCCATCCACACTAAGTCTTGCAATTCGGTGTAATCATTTGTAGTTCCGATATGCCACTTTGTGCCAGATTCCACTTGGCCGATTTCTTCATTTCTGGCTCTTGATTTTGGTAATCTATGGTCAGATATTGAGAATTCGGGTAACTTAAAGTGGGATTTGGCCCTCATTCGCATCGCTTCAGACCGGACCGTAGTACTCATACGGCTCTTAATTATAGTGAAAAGGGTAACATGCTGCGCAATGGTATATATTGAATTTATAGTAAAAAGGATAACATTTCATGCTGCGCAATGGTATATATTGAATTTATAGTAAAAAGGGTAACATTTCATGCTGCGCAAGGGTATATATTGAATTTATAGTAAACAGGGTAACATTTCGTGCTGCGCAAGGGTATATATTGAATCCCTGGAGGCCGAAGGCCCTGGACAGCCAGGCCATATATATACATTTTTTCCTTTCTTCTTTTTACGGTTATACATTTCTTCTTTTTACGGTTATATACGAGCGCGCACGCAGAAATCCGCCAAGGAGACGTTTTGTAGAATTTTCCGGTCCTTTTCTGGGACTGACTATTTCTTCTTTTTTTCGCTTCGGTTGATTGCTGGACATTGGACAACAATAGGCAGATACGTAGAGTTTTTTTCAAGGATTAGATAAGCCAAGGATTTTGGGTAGTTTACCGTAGTTGGAATATAACTTTTTTTTTTCCCCCGGTTCGTTTCGTGCTTTCTCTTCTCTTTCCATAAGAAAGGAAAACGAGGCTTTCATACACTCGACAATGTGTGTGTCACTGTGTGAGCTGCTTGTGGTGCGTGAATTCGGTACGTGCGGACTCGCCTTTCACGCACGATTCACGCATTGTAATAATCCATTTTAGCAGTTTCCGCTGTGACTACCCCGTGTTCTTCCCCGGAATAGAACGTATACGATCATTGTATCCGTATTTGGCCTAACTTGTAGTCCAGATGCAGCGAAAATGACAGTACGTTTTATTCTACTGACTACCGTAGATTGCCTAGTGTGTCTAGAAAGCGAGCAGTATCTCTTTATCCGTTGGACGTTAGCTTGCAGCCACCTCAACAGTGTTTCTTCCTTCTTTTCCCCCCCCCCCTAGTTACCTCAACAGTTTTGTGAATCTGCCGAGTGCGGAAATCTCGTACGGTAATCGTGATGAAGTTGGATCTGCGAGCCTTCACCGAATTCTTGAAATTTACTAGTATGTGTATTATTGGGAGTCTCGTTGGAGACACTCGAAATTTCGAATAAAGTCTTGAAATTTATGTATAATTGAGCTTCTTTTTCTGCTATATATATAAAAAAAAAGAGCTTTTTCTGCGGTATGTGACCCTGACGGAGGATGTCTGCGTGTATGCGTCAAAAAGAAGAAGATAAATCTTTTTTTTTTGTGTGTGTGTCTGTGTGTCATAGAGCACTGAAAGTGTATTTGCTGCCTAATAGTGTTTCTGTGCATTGGGAGTTTTTAAAATTTTGGACAGATTTTCAAGCTGTATTTCTACTAGCTGTGCTTTTCTCAGCGTCATGAGCCTGGGGATATCTGCTTATAGATGTGTTATAAAAAAATGAAAATTAAGGACGTGATTGTAAAAATTTGATTGACATCTGTTTATGTCATTGCAGTAGCAGGTCTGTAATCACTGGATCCGTTTCTTCGACTTTCGGTTCGGATGTGAGAAGCGAAGAATGCAATGCACCTGGTCCATGTAGAGCGTTGTCTAGTGGAGCGACGGCCTAATTCTTCGACTGCGGCGGAGAGTTATATGTGCTTTAGCTGCATTGCTCTCCGGCGCAGTCGAAGAATTAGGCCGTCGCTCCACTAGACAACGCTCTACATGGACCAGGTGCATTCACAATTTATCGGGTCGAGAAAGCGTTCAGATGCATGGTGTTGTGTTGTGAAGCGAAGCCCCTCCTGTAATATGTGGATGAGTGAGTAACCTTACCCTCGTTTTATTTTCCCGGTGTCTGCAGGTGCAACGGGGAGAGAAGAGGTGAAACTTAGGAGGGGAGGTGTTCCAATCGTGTGCGTGCTCAGAGCCAGTAATTGTTTGTTGTTTCAGTTTTTTCAAGTACTTGTTGATTGCGGACGCATTCTGTTCAGAAGCACGACTAAGGGGTGAAGACGCCGACCGACGCCACGTGTAAGCACGTAGTACTACGACTCTGTGAGTTGTTGAAAGAAGAGAGGTTGTACAAGGGGAAGCGTTGGTGGAATCACGCAGAAAAGTCTGTCTCGTCCCTCTGGTCTAATCTCCCGTTCGCAAGGCGCAGGGGAAGATTGATTGATTGATTGGTACAGGAGCAAGGCAACGTATTGTTTTTTTTTGTGAGTTAAGAAGCTTTTTTTTTTTCAAATTGTGGTTTTTAAAAAGGCCGTGCAAGGAGGTCGAGATGTCTGGAGCAACGCCATCCTTCGGGAGCTGGCAAGTCGGACCCGACCCTGCGCTTGCGCCTCGTCTGGCTGCCGCTCCTGTTGCCGGTCGGCCGTTGGCGCGCGGAGTCACTCGCTCTACTTCTCTCATCAAGTCGCAGAAGCTCTACGCAGAGCGGGATGAGGATACCAGCTCGTTGCCATTTGGCTGGGCTTGGGGCCGACGATGGCGGCGCAGGTACTTCGTGTGGTACATGTCGGATCCAGAGCTGGAGTTCGAGGAGTTCGGGCAGGAGCCGACGGTAACCGGCGGGACGCGATGGGAATACGGCGCATCGGCGCGCAAGCACTTCCGCGCGCCGGGATGGGCGGCGAAGTGGCTCGCGGCGGTGTTCAAGCTGGTGCTGGACGTTAACGATCTGGCTAACTGGGCTGTCGTAGCGCTCTTTGGCGTGGTCTTGGTGGCATTCCCGAGTCTGCTTACGCTGTCCGAGGACGGGCTTCTCTATTGGCTGTCATGGGCGGCGCTGGCGCAATCCGTGGTGTCGATTCTGTGCAATTACTCGCGGAGATCGAGAGAGGGCCGCGGTGCTCCCGACATTCCCTGCGCCTATTGGCTCGCTAATCCCCCGAGAGAGGGACTGGTGTCGGACCTCCGCCATCGCTACATCATGCAGCTGTTTCCAGACACCTGGGAGCTGGTGCAGTATGCGGCGAAAGGCGGTGTCGGCTTTCTACTGCTGCTGAACATCGACGACGACGTCCGCAAGCTCGCTGACCTCCCCCTCTTGACGTCAAACGGAGAGCCTACCGGTAGCAGCAGCACACACATCACAAAGCGGTTGAAGGAAGCTCTGTACGCTGGCGCTGCCATACTTATCTTCCAGCTGTGCGCCGGTGTGTTCTACTGTATTATGCATTTCGTGAAGGAGTGGAGCCCAGGGATTCGAGCGTTCATCTGGCACTTCCGACGGCACGGGTCTCTCCCAGGCTGCCTGGCGTTCGACAGCGAGTTGTGCGGCATACCGGCGCACTGGTTCATGAGCGTCCGCGACGTGAAGCTGTGTCTGGCGTGGGCGCTCAACCGACGCCACCAGTGGAAGCTTCGGCACAAGGAGAGCCAGAGGCGGCCGGAAGCGACGCTGTCCGCTGCCGCCGATGTGTCGGACAAGCTCGTCGATCGCTACGTGGCTATGGCCATCGACTCATTGTCGAAGACGGCGACGTATTACGAGGGGCGGCAGGAGATTCTAGATAACAGCGGATTCGAGCTGATCCTGCTGGCGTTGAAGAGCGGGATGGACATTAAGACTCGCACGGCCGCCGCCTCCGTCGTCCATTCCTTCTTCGTGAACATCGAACGGCGCGCGTATGAGGAAGCCAACCGCGGAGTGAATCTTGAGCAGAATCTTCCAGGATTCGGCAGCTCGCGGATCGCGTGGAACTTTGGCGGGCTCGAGACCGACGCGCGGTTCCGGATAATCGGGACGGGAAACGTGTCGACGGCGATCGACGAGCTGGAGCACCTTACGGCGTACTATCTGAGAGCGGCGACGGTGAACCTGATCGATCTGCTACACTCGTCGGAGACGTCGGCGAAGCAGAAGGAGGAGGCGTCGAGGGCGCTGCTCTCGCTCGTCGTGGCCGTCACGTCCAGTGCCTTCTGCCAGTTCAACGCGCGGCCGAAACACAGAGTTCTTACCTGTCTGCCGCGATGGCTGCGCGTGACCGCGGCGGAGGAGTTGGACGTTATGGTGGACGCGATGGGGCGCGCGCGCCGGCCGTCGGTGAACCAGGACCCATCGGTGGAGGCAGGCGCGGTGGGCAGGCGGCGACCGTCGATAACCGAGCGCGACTCGGGGGGGATAGAGTTCACTGCCGTCGGCGCACGTCGGCCATCCATCCCGCCCACGCGACCACTTTTGCCCGGTGGCGGGGAACAGAGCGGTCCTGGCGGCATCCCGCCGTCCGGTGCCGCAGGCGCGCGCTCCGGGCCCGTGACAGTGGTAGGCGGAGCCGTCGTGCAGCAGCACTTCAGCTCGGAATCTTGGCCTTGGTCCGCCGTCCTCGCGGCCATCGCTGAGAACCTTTTCGAGCGCTTGGAAGTCACCGAGCCGATGCTGGAGCTTCGGGAGCTGGAGCAGGAAGGTCAAGATTCGACCCAAGAGCTGGAGCGTCTCCGGGAGCGCCTCGGCGCGCGATTGTCCTGCATCAGGGTCCTCATGTACGCGGCCGAGGCGGAGACCAACACGGTGGAGTGCAGAGTCAATTGCCTGAACGTCCTCAGCGAGCTCACCGCCGATCGCAATTGTCGTGATCTGTTCCTCAAGAAACTCCGCGGCGTCGACATGCTCCTTCGCCTGGCTTATCCCGTGGAACAGAAGGAGGATCGCTACGAAGGGATAGTTCGTTTGGCTCCTCTTGGGGTCCGGCACGGGACAGTGTTCTTGTGTCTCAACTGCGACGACGACTCGAGAATCATAACGGAACACAATCTCGACACCATGGAGCGATACGCGTTCATCATCGTCTGCTGCTCGCCGGACTTCCTGCTGAATCTCCCGACCGCTGGCATATTCCTGAGGGTCATCGAGCTGCTGCACGACGTGACGATGCGCTGCCGCCGTCTGCCTCGTGCGTTCCTGGCCAAGCTCGGCCGCTCCAGTCCGATGTTCGACTTCATGATGGTGCTGCAGGTGCTGACGGTGCACATGAACTTCGCTCGCATTCTCCACGGCCTGCTCTCGATGCCCGCGAATCACAACAGAGGTTGGTCTCTGCTCAACGACCACGAAAGGCGGGAGCTGAGGTACTTGCGCGAGAGAGCGGGGGCGCTCGATCTCTTCGAGAGAATGTGGAGGCGGCTCTCCGTGGCCCGGCGCAAGGTCATTCGTCTCATCCTCTGGTTCCAGTCCAACTTCTCGCAGTTCCTCTCCCGCGACTCCGACAAGGATTTCATCAAGCTCTTCAGCGGCGCGCTCGATCTGCTGGACGTCGAGAGCGTGCAAGTGCCTCATCCGGGGCTGGTCAGCAACGAGGGCGATCCCGAATCCACCAGGATGCAGAACCTTCTCCACGACGGCTTCAACACGTGGAGGGAGGAGATCTCTCCGCTTCAGAACTGGCGTTTCCTCCCCGAGATGTCGTTCAACCTGTGGAAGGCCTGGCGGAAGCTCTACACCCTGCAGTGTCCTGTGCCCATGACCTTCGACGAGTACCTCAGCGAGCCCATGCTCTACAACCCGGCGTTGTACTTCGCTTCCCCAGACCCGCGCGACCACACGCGCACCACGCTCTCTCTCGACTGCGTCTACAGTCTGATCGAGTCGCTCGTCTGGACGCTTGTGGACTCCGACTGCGCGGAGACGCTCTCCACGATTCCCGCCTCGTCCGCGGCGACGGCGCGCACGCGCGCCCCGCCCGCTGTGGCCGGAGGACACACCTCGTGGCGGTATTCTGCGCCTTATCCCACGCTGTCGCCTGACGACTGGGCCGGCTCGTTCATCATGGACACAGGCGATGACGGAAAGCTTGCTGACGAACTGTACATCAACGAGGAGAGGGTCGTCGATTACACCAAGGAGATTTACGCACGCAAGGACGTCCAGAGGAAGAGCGCTACCATGCTTGTCAAGCTCGCCAAACTCCACGAGAATCTCCGGAGGCGGATTGCCTCTAGCTTCACCCTCAAGCAGTACATCGAGCCGCTCAGAAGCCTCGGGTTCTCGGAAACAGAGGAGCTCTTTGGACTCATCTCCCAGGCAGCACGTCCTGTATAAAACAAGGAGAGAATGATGCATGCATGCATTGTTCGATGGGGCGGTCGATGGGTGAATCGGTAGGTGGATGGATTTGATTTATGTACTAGTTGAAAGTTAGCCATCAGAAAATATCCTTATTATCATTTATTGATTGATTGATTGATTGATTGATTTATTGATTGATTGATTGCTTGCTTGCTTGATTGATTGATTGCTTGATTGATTAGGTAGTTAGTGAGATCAGATTGACCGCAGTTTGTTTGCTCTTTCGCTGCGTTTATTTGCCAGCCAAGAAGCAAGAGATGAAAGAAGTGATATAGGGCGGACGAGCTCGCTCGGGTAGTGCATGAAGTGGAAGAAGGCTGCTCTGTCCCTTTTCGCAGTTTGGACATACCTGACCTAGGTTGACATTTCTCTTCTTCTTCTTCTTCTTCTTCTTCTTCTTCTTTAACGCAAGGCCTACCTTGGTTCATGTAGGAAGGTACGCACCATAGCAAGAAAGCCGGAATGTGAAGTGACGTATATATATTTCTCCTATACCATCCCTGAACTAGTCGTGGAGAGGACGAGGAGGTTACTAGATGGACGGACGTAGCTGCTGCACCTGCCAACCCGTTCCTGATTATGGACCTGTCGAGTTGTTCGACCGGATAGGCTTAAGAACATACTGTTAGGTAAGATGATCAAAATAACTTTAAATAAGGCAGACATTTAGGGCGCACAGATCGGGCAACTGAGGTTGCGGTAGGATTGACATTTCAAACGTAATCTGGTATGGGAAACTGTAGTTAAACTGTTAAAAGACATCAGCTTTCATTTCTTTTTTTCAGTACGTGTATAGATTACACACACACACACACACACACACACACACACACACACACACACACACTCCTCATCCCCGTGCGACGGGGAAGGCTCTCACACCCACACCCACATAAAAAGAGAGAGAGAGAGAGAGAGAGAGAGAGAGAGAGAGAGAGAGAGAGAGAGAGAGAGAGAGAGAGGTTGAAGAATGATTTCAGTAAGGTTAGCAAAGGCCTTAAGCATTTATTTTATAGATAGAATAGAATTATGGAAGAACCGGTTAAGAGTCTGTAGACCCTAGTTCTGTTACATGGGTCTGTCTTATCAATACGATTCGGTTTAATTAACTGCGGTTAAGAGTCTATAGACCCTAGTGCTATAGACCTTAGTTCTGTTTTCGCAGCTCGTGTAGATATATGCGATGCGTATATGTGAGGTAATAAGTTATACGTAGTAGATTTTTTTCTTTTCTTTTGTACAAACCGGTTGTAGACATTGGGCATCGCTGCACTACTCTCGACATGCACAAAAGACAAAAATCATGGCGGTGTATCTTTCCATGTTTCTAGCGAAGATTCACTCTCGTTTTGCACATTTCGAGAGTAGTGCAGCGAGGCCCATTGGTAAGTGATTGGTTTATATATTTGGTGGTTGTTTTGATCAAATGGCGACGGTGGTATTGATTACTTACTTATTTTCACGGTTATTTATACTACCAGGAGGTGCCACCTGATAAGCAAGGAAAGGCGGGAAGGAGGCTTAATGATCGACAGGCGAAGGGAGGGGGGGATCTCCACTCCAGGCCCTGAAGGGGTCATCTGCATGCCCGGGTCTTGCTGCTAAGTTGCTAGCGCAGTGGGATTTTTTTTTGTGGTAGGTTTAATTATAGTGAAACGGACTACCCGATGGTCGGTGGCACTCCTTTTCATGAAAGGACGTCCGAAAAACACACTGGTCTTTGAAAGTTGGCCCGCCGGAGACGGTTTGAGAAGGGTGGGCACAGAACAGTCTGTGCGGTGAGGATCTCCTCAGCCGCAATAATATCTTTCTCTTAAATTCTTTCGCAATAATGAAGCATGCTGAGCTGCACATTTTTGCTCATGCTGAGACAGAACCGCCTGCTCGTTTTCTGCATACTGCCGTTCTTTTTTTGTTTTTGTTTTTTTTTGTTTTTGTTTCATTCCCGTTGTGTTCTGTTTTGTTCTGTTTTGTTCTGTTCTGTGCTGTTTTGTTCTGTTTTGTTCGGTTTTGTTCGGTTTCCTTTTGCTCAGTTTGTTTGGGTAAACTTGTGCTGAACATTTCGAAGGCGTATGCTGCTGCTATGGACGCTAGAACGAAGCAAAAACTTTTGCTTGCTTGACATTGCGATCTCATGCTGTTTCTCGAGGTCGCTTGTTTTCCCTGAAGCGTTGTAATAGTTGGCATTTTAACTCTGGTTCCGGTTTAGGGTACTTGGGGCTGGTTCGGTTTTGGTACTTGGGTCTGGTTCTGGTTTCGGTACTTGGKTCSGGTTTAGGGTACTTGGGGCTGGTTCGGTTTTGGTACTTGGGTCTGGTTCTGGTTTCGGTACTTGGGTCTGGTTTAGGGTACTTGGGGCTGGTTCGGTTTTGGTACTTGGGTCTGGTTCTGGTTTCAGTACTTGGGTCTGGTACAGGTTTCGGTGCTTGGGGGAATTATAAGCCTTGGGGACATGGTTTTGCTTCCGTTTTGACGTTGTTCCGTATTAAGCAATCGAATTTTCATGTGTTTATATAAGCAACAATCGTGTGCACACACGTGTTTTATAAGCAATCGTCTTCTTAAATGTTTATTGTTTGTATAAGCAATGGTGTGTTCACGTGTTTTGTACGCAATCCGCTCCTCAAACGCTTTATTAGCGAGGGCTACCTAACCGCCCCAGAATTTCCTTTTTGGGTAACTGCCTCTGACGCGAAAGCAACATTTTGCGGTGGCGGTGGGGTCCCCTCTGTTTCATCATCTCCGTTGGCGGTGGGAAGTCGGCTGGAAGTCTAATGGCCAGATCCCACTGGCGAAGAGGATTGGAATAAATGACTGAATCTGGACGTGTTCCAGACAGACATGCAGAAGAGCAGGTCACTTGCAATCTTCTGTACTTCTCCACGAACATGTCTAGACTGGCACTCTTGTTCCAATCCTCTTTGCCAGTGGGATCTGGCCCTAAGACTTGGGAAACCTGTGGGGTCCCTTTCTTAGACTTTTCACATGTTCTGATTGTTTTGTTAGCAATTGTTAATATCCTTTTTCCCAAATGTCTTATCAGCAATGGTCACCCTCTTTTTCACATGTCTTATATGTAATTGTATCTTCACATGTTTTATAAGTCTATATGCCGCATGTGGACGAAGGGGAGATTGGGGTTGGTACGGAAAAGGGGTTTGTCATCTCCCTCCCCCCTCAACAATGGGGAAGCGGCATCCAGGCATCTGTGATTGTCATCAGCGCCATGGGAGTGATGCTGCAAGTGGACGGGGTGGGACAGGGGCTTGATATAAAGAAGAGGCTTACTGCTTTCCCCCCCCCAACCTCGATACGGTGTTCCTCCTTGTCGTCTGGCAGAGGGTAGTAGGATAGTTGGGGGTGATTGATGTTGCCCGGCCTGCAATGCCGATCATCAATGGGTGGATGATCGTCTTGCATTGCCTCCTGCTTTTTTTTTTTTTGTTTTTTTTTTTGTTTTAGCTCCATCTATTGGTGGGGAGCATCACCTGCTGGAAACCGGGTCCAGCGTCCCATAGATACAACCATATCCTCACAATTGGCACGAACTGGGAACCGGGCCCAGCGTCCMATAATGAGTABGTAATGAGTACGTTCAGAAAAGATATCAGAAGTTCATGAAAATGAGGCTAGAAACCTACCCAAAGGAAACAGAATTTTGAACTTTGAGATTTTGACAACTACTCAGAAATCTCAAGACTACCTGCTCAAAACAGACTATCCTATGGTTTTGAAAGGTGGCAGGAGATCCCTGCCAGCCTTGATTACCCTGAACAACAGGGATTTGACCGAGTAGGTCGTCTTTTTTGGGACAAATTGCTCCAATCTATTCGTGGGAAGCAACACGTGCTGGGAATCAGGCCCAGCGTCCCATATACAAGTATACAAATGATTCGAAAATGATTCAGCGTGCAGAGAAACAATTTTGCCCTACCTTCTGATCATAAACAACTCCGTCTTGTCCATGAACTGCCCCCGTCAAGGGGCACCCCATTCCCCTTATTGACCCCAGCTCAGGGCAAGCCCCCTAGCGAACTACCACTCCCTCAAGAACGAGCAGTTCCCTCCAAAAGCTAGTCCTCGCAGAATAGTAGTTCCCCCAACCTCCATCCCAACCCTCTCCATTTAGGCCATAGGACACACCTAAAAGCCTGCCTTCTATTACCCGASGAAAGTCTTCTACTYCCCTWYGTGCTCTTTTTAACAAAGTTAGGATTAGAAAAAACGAATTTATATCAGAAATCCAAAAAAAGTCAAGACCATACAATCAATGATTTAAGAAAAAACAAATTTGTATCAAAATTCCAGAAAATTTCAAGACCATACAATCCATGAGAAGACAAGCTGTTGAGTGGCAAAATCACACGAGGTTCTACGAATTTTTAGTTTAGGTATCCCTGAAGGATTTTCGAATCAGAATCCCAAACCACCGTTTGAGAAACGTTCAGCAAAGATATATGGCGCAAAAAGGTATGAAAAAGCATCCACAGAAATCACAAAATCAGATCGTCATCACTGGAAGGACCATCCAGAATTGCAGCATAGAAGGACAAGCACGTGATATGCCAACGACAAACGAATCATGAATTCAGAATAGAAAACCAATATACAAATTACACCAGATCAGAACTCGTACAAATCAAGATGAAAAGCTGCTGTAATTGGAATCCAATTTTCCAGAAAAAATCAGGGAATAGATCATGAATTTCAACCACAGAGTTAAAAGTTCCAGAACACTATTACGAAGGTAGAAAAAATACGATTGAACAAAGACAAACTAAAAATCTTTCACGCAAGGAGTCGTTCGCAAGATTAGTATCAGAAATTTCACGCACGCCCAGCGTACCACCGAGACACCGAACCCTACATGGGCTCCTGCTAGTTCCACGTGATAATGCATATTGGATACTGGACTTGACGTCCACATCGTCCAGATCATACATCCCTCATCACTGATAGAGCTTTGCTTTTAGGCTTGATTGATAAAAGATCATATACACCACATCCTGCTTAGGGTTTCGTGATTGCACACTGATAGATATAGAATATGGACATATATATTAGATAGTTTCTGACTGTTGGACTGATAGATATAGAATATGGACATATATATTAGATAGTTTCTGACTGTTGGACATAGTTGCACAACATGGTATAGGGACGCTGGACCCAATTTCCAGCAGATACAAATCACATCATTGTAATACACATCACATCATGGTTAGGGTTTAGTTTGATTGGATTGATGCCTCATTTTGCTTTTCAATCTCTATAGACTAGATGGATAGGGGTGCTTGACCCGCTTTCCAGCACAGACACTCACACGATTGCACACAGACGCTGGAACGTATTTCCAGCAGATACATTTTCATCATTGAACAAAGGGACGCTGGACCCGATTTCCAGCAGGTGTAGCTCCTCACCAATAGATGGAGCCTTCGATGCCAGGGCCTAATTACCGGGGATGCTCTTATCACCTCGTTAAGTAGGTTTCCTGTATACGTACGAAGTTCACGGGAATATATATATATATATATATATATCGTCACAAATAGAACTGCCCGGTAAACCGTAGGCAGAGAGAGAGAAGAGGACAGCAAACGAGGGGCTGTGACAAACTGTTTATATATATATATATATATATATCGTCAAATAGAACTGCCCGGTAAACCGTAGGCAGAGAGGGAGAAGAGGACAACAAACGAGGGGCTGTGACAAACTGTTTCGTCGGAGTTTCACCGACTCATCTATATATATACATATTGTCACCAACAGAACTGCCCGGTAAACCATAGGCAGAGAGAGAGAAGAGGAAAACAAATGAGGGGCTATATATATATATATATATCGGGTAGGGAGGTCCGCACGCGGTGTCGCAGGGGACCGAGGAGGGCGCGGCGGTTGGGGAGGCCGGTAGCTGGGACCACCGTCGTCGTGACGGAGGGGGGTGTCGGTTCGTGTCGTAGCAGGGAAGTCTCCGCGTGGTGTAGTTGGGGAGGCCGGTAGCCGGGACGTTGGGGAGGCCGGTAGCCAGGACGGCCGTCGTCGTGACGGGGAGGGGGTGTCGGTTCGTGTCGTGGCACGGAAGTCTCCGCGCGGTGTAGTTGGGGAGGCCGGTAACTGCCACGGGCGGCATCGCAAGGGGGGGGGTGTTGGTTGGCGGAAAATATTCACTATTGCAGCAATCAAATGGGGGGAGAGGTTTCGGGCGGCAACGGGGTGGCAGTGTGAATGCTATCGGGCGGGTGCGGGGGAGGGCCGCGTCGGCAGGAGGTAGGGGGAGGCAGGAGGTAGCGCGGAGGAGGGGAGGGTGGGAGTACGACGACCGAATCGTGTGCAGTGGGAACGACGGGGGGAGAGAGAGAGAGAGAGAGAGAGAGAGAGAGAGAGAGAGAGAGAGAGAGAGAGAGAGAGAGAGAGAGAGAGAGAGAGAGAGAGAGAG